CTCTCTCTCTCTCTCTCTCTCTCTCTCTCTCTCTCTCTCTCTCTCTCTCTCTCAATGAATGCAATTCATTAATAACATTTTTTTCTTACCATCATGTGACAATTGTGTATTATTATATTTGTCTGTATTATGAGAGAAGTCAATTAATAAGTTGGAAAAACTTACCGACTAATCCCTTTGTCAATAAAATAAAATGACGGTGCGCGCTCGGTAGTTCATAATTGAAGCAATCCCTCACATTTACATAAACATAGCTGAGTACAGCTTTAGTCGGCCACTAGGTATAATACTCGATATCATCATTTACAAATTTCATGACATTGCAGCATCAGGCTGGTCGAGTTATTTCAAAATGAACAGAATCAATGTAACAAAGAAACCAGGCAAAATAATGAAACTTAATTTCATAAACACATATAACAACGTACACACATAAAGAAAAATAAAGAAAAAATAATTATAGTTATCAATATCTAATGCTGGGTTTGATGTAATGATGCACATGTCTTAATTATGAAACCCTTATGCCAAACCCGATCAAAAGCCTTAGAAATATCGCAGAATACCATACATACATGGTTTTTCCCCTCTAGAGAAAATACAGATGTTATAATGATAAATTTCAATGAGATAAAACCAGATTGATGCTTATAAAAAATGGAGTTTTCAATAAAAATGATTACGCAAGTTTTGAATATTACTCTCTCAAACACTTTTCCAACTGTAGATAATAAAGAAATTGGCATGTAGGTAAGAGGGAGAATGCTTGTCACCTTTTTTAAACAGTCGCATAACTTTGACTGTTTTCCAAGAGTTTGGGTAAACACCACACGATAAAGACATGTTAAAATGATTTCAAGGGGAACACAAACGGTTTCTGATGTGTTTCTTAGCACATGGTGACAGATTCCATCCTCATCCGATGCCTTTCCAATATCTGTAAAATATGTCATATTTCATTATTATTGACTCTAATGTACCTAAGACAGAAGGTCTTGGAACCGCAGTATTTCTGTCAGAAAATCTAGCAAAAGGTCATCAAGGTGTTATTGTTTACGCCGGTGAACAATGGTAAGATTGATTTTCTGACAAGGACTTAAATATCAGTAGGTCACTTGTACACACAGCCTGTTCATTAGGTATATTTTCTGAGGCAACATTGTAAATCCCCTTGTATTTTCATGGAAGTAGCAGTAAATAACACTAAAGTACTATATGTAGCTTAACTTTTCGTACAGCGATCACTGATATACGTTAATTTAGGACACAACTAATATTATTCCGTCTTTGCGTATTGCAGAGTTATCTTCTCTTGTGAGCAGGTATTGATAGTTGCGTCATTGGTTTGTGTGAGAAAATTACGTCGTTTTCTCAAAAATTGATGACGTTACTCTCATAAACAAATGACGTAACAATAAATGTACATGGACGGAATAACGTTCTATGAGTATTTTTTGTCGTGTCGCGTTGTGTTATTATAAATAAGATTTGTCTCCCCTGCACCGCTGATAGCACAGAAGGTATTTTCTACAGATGAAAATCAGATTATTATCGATTATGAAGACTGTTAATGACGTAACAGATAAGAGAAAATGTAACGGGGCCAGACCCCTATAGCCAGACTTCGTAAACATAGACGGGTACTATGTTATTGGCACCGTATTATTAGTTAAGTCGCCCAGTCAAGCCCCGCTGCAATACTGAGTAGACCGTAATTTATTAACAGTTATATATGTCCCATTGAACAGTGCAGGGAGGGTTTTATCATACGCGAATTAAATAAAAAATGCAAATGACGGAGATAATTCCGTGATATTTACAAAATTACAGTTAGAGAAAAAAAAAGACAAATTTTCAAGATGAATTGTTATCCAAAAATATTACTCATAGTCCCAGCCCTTCATAAAAAATGGAATTTCTGTTGCAATCTAGTTTGATGTTTTGGTTATTTTCGTACAGGAAGACTGGACTATTATAAAAGAATGAATTTTGGAAAATCAAACACAAATGGTTGTGATGAAATATATAGAGGATTAAGTAAGTCTTATACTGAACAAACCCAAAAATACTGAAATGATATATGTTCATTTCCGGTTTAAATTTTACTTGTTTCGTATAAAAAAAAAGACTTAACAGTATTCTTTGTGAACTCTCGGTGACAAAGCAAGTATTTTCAAACACTTGATTCAATTTTGTTCAAATCCTGTCACGTTGTCCTCCAGAGATGCACACGAGAGTAACCGGGACGAGTTCTGGACACGACGTTGCTGTATCCAGCAGTTTTGTTCAGGTTTCCCCTTCCTTTGTATTATTGAACTGTATTCCGAAAAAGGAAATTATTGTATCAGTGTAACACAGTGTTAGATCATCAGTTATGTCCTTCATGATGCACAACCAACTTAACTCATTCATCCCTGAAGACACATTTGAACTCTTTCAATTCAAAGGTTGGAGCAGTTCATTTTGAAATTTCAGGGGTGAATGAGTTAATATGTGCTTTCTGTCAAGCTTTGTCCGAGTCTTTCGATGTTACTGTCCTTCGGTGCAATAAAGCGCTTCCTCGTTCCGTTTGCACTCCCGGTTTTAATCACAGATTTAAAAATGACGTGATATTCGTTTGTAGTTTGAAAAAATGCGTCTCCTCCTTAGCCCACGATCTGCATATGCGTTCGTCTGGTTTTCCTTGCTTTTTGTCTTTCCGTATCATCTTCTTGTTTTCTTCTGTCTGTCTGAGATTTCATTGCTCTTGGATGTTTATTTTCAAACAAAGAATTAACACTAAATTCGGTACAAGTACGAGTTCACGTTAATTTGCTAATCCAATGTCAAGGTGTTTTTTGGTGTCGCGATACGTAAAACCATTTCAAATGATAATTATTACGGCAAATTTTCAGTTTGTACTGTGTATGATACCATTGCATACACAGTATAAGAAGACAGGTATCGAGCTCATGGTTTAGCTTTCGATTTTCTCTCTGTTGATATTTCTTTCTTATGGGCATAGACCATAATCCAATTATACATACTCAGTATATTGCAGACCGTGGTAATTCGGAAATTGAGAGCATTGTGCTCTTAGCTCTCCATTCTTCTACTGTGTGACTAGTCTAGCACACGAATATCGTAGTATGGAATTCATATCATAAATACAAGATGACTCATATGTGTTTTATTTATATCTTCAGGACAGACACTTAGTTGGACCAAATTGCATTATATATAAACATTGGTAAGCCGCGTTATCAGACGAACGTTAGATAAAGCTGTGTTTGTATCTACTGCAATGCAAGTACTTTAGATCGTGTCTTTCCGTTAACTGTCGGGTTGACCCGCCGGTATGACGGAAAAACCCGATCCTTATATTATAGCAAAGGGTATCAAAGATACAACGCCTAAATAAAATCAATACATAAGTGTAACCTTAACTACAAATTTTGATTTTTTCTTCCCTCAACAACTGAAGCAGTGCTCAGCATGTATAAGAAAAACCTGGGTTTGTGTTGGAGTTAACGATTTTATCGAGAGAAAAAAAGTTGATTTGATTTAATTTTATAAATATACATAGGGTATGGAAGGAACTGATTTATTGTGAATTAATCAACGGTCAACTTCAAAGGTCACTGTGGGGCATCTACCAAACAAAGAAGTTCGGATACTACGAAGCTATTTTTGTGTCGAGGACCTTGAAACTGAACAAAAATGGCCACCAAAATTTGAATCAAGTATACGCACCTTACGTATTCTTGGTCTTAATGTCAAGGTGTTTCATGGTGTAAATATACTTTCACCGGAAAATTCACAGACACACACGTACCAAGTGGAATCTGGGAGCTTAAGTAAGCCAGTGGTTTACATTAGCCGGTTTGTATTGGTTTCTTGTCAGTTTAATAAAGAGAGA